AGTAGTGTAAGGAGATGACTATATTCTTAATGAAATCTTTCCCTCTCTCTTGCTCTCATACACACTTTATATGTTAAATACTTCATATGCAAAACCCCAAACCTTCCACATCATGATTTAGACTGCTGCACTGGACCATGTATCAAAATCTTGGAATTATGCCATATGGCCAAGATTTACTCCGAAACATATTCCCCTAATTTCCCAGAATGCAGCAGGTTAGTATAAAATGAGAGATCAGTTCCAATTCACCCACATAGTAACCTTAAGCAGAAGTCTGTTTAGTCCTTTAAAGTCTATTACATTTTTGGTGTTTAAAGGGATAGTTCACCCCAAAATCAAAATTCTGTCATCATTTACTCACAAGTTGTTCCAAACCTGTATGAGAATCTTTTTTTTTTTTTTTTTTTAGGCAGAAAAAAAAGAGAAAATCTTACAGATTTGGAGCAATTTGAGGGTGAGTAAATGATTACAGAATTTTTCATTTTTGGGTGAACTATTCCTTTAATAGCCTGTAGTCACTATATACATTTATTTGATGAAAAAGAGCAACATCATTCTTTTAAACTTGTCTCTTTTTTTTCCACAGCAGAAATGGTTTGGACTGATACAAAGGTAAATAAATTATGGTAAATTGAAAAAATGTACAGTATTTCAAAACATGTACACCTATATGGGATGAATTCAGTCATATCAGTAGTTTGAATAAAATATTTTATTTTACAGGAAGCAGGACATCTCAGGTGGGACAAGTATTTCTACAATGGCATTGGTAACAGTCCTCATGGCCAGTACAACATGAACAAAAACTCACCTCTTCAAATACAAAAAAAATTAAAAATTAAATTAAAATTAAACTATTCACACAAACAAAGATTTCATTGCTTTGAAGTAAAATCCTTTGATTAGGCTGTAAGCAACTTCTACAGTACAGGTGCATCTCAGTAAATTAGAATGTCGTGGAAAAGTTCATTTATTTCAGTATGTTTTCACAGAATGACTTACATCCTGTTGTATTTAATCGAATTTTCCATCAAAGTATAAATTCACCCCTAGTTTATCTAATCATCTTATCTGTTAGTTGCATATTGAAGATCATCTTACAGGCAGCATTTGAGCAGGAGCAAAATAGTGCCAACAATTTGATATTCAGCTGAGAGGACCTAAGCAAACCAGTGAGGATTTTTTATCACATTAAAAAAAAAAAACCTTTAAAGTTATATGAGCTATAAAGTCATCCTTTCACATTTCACCGTACTGGCAAGCACACTAAATTGTGGGGGACAAGAGACCCAGATTATCTACTTCTTGGTTTGTCTTTGTCTTGTAACATTAGCTCAAGACAGGAACAAAGTCGGAAAGACATGCACTGTCACTGCTGCAGGGAGTGTGAGAAGAGGACTTGAAAAATGAAATTAGGCACGCGAACAATACCTTTACATTGTCTGACAGTCAAAGAGATTTAAATTTGCATGACTTCATGCTGGCTTGTCTTTATATTGTAACCATGCAAGACATGTAGTATTATAAATAGCTGAATTTAATCCACATTTATGTATTTGACAGATTTTAGTTATACAATTGATCAGTTCGTGTATTTCCTGGGAATTGAACCCATGACCTTGGTGTTGCTAGTGCTATCCTCTACAGTTTGAGCTACAGGAATTTGCATTGAATACTTTTAGATAAACCAAAATAAAAAAAAATAAAAGGAGAAGAGACTTTTTTAATCTTTTGATATATTCTGCACATTATGATATCATGCCTCTATAACATACATGCAATGATTTTATATATTTTATCATGAACAGAATTAATTTTGTCACACCTTTTTCTCTCATTCTTTCTATTGTTTAAGGTCGTGTTGATTTAGAATGACTGACTGAGGAGTTTGATTCGATGAGGCAGAGGAACTAGCCATACCCCACGGTCATTTTACAAATTGAGTTTATAATAGCCTTCCATTTAAATTACTACTCTTCAGCACAATAATAATTTATATTTATTTATATATATATTTATTTATTTATTTATTGGGAATGGCACTAAGTTGTTGTTCATGCTGTACTGGCAGTCTCATTGGACTGGAATAGATATTAGCTTAAAATTACCTGGCCCTCCTGAAACATTGTATATGCTTAATATATACTTTGGAAAATAAATATCCAGGTTCTAAGAGGAGTTGTGTACTTTATTGATAACTGTCTGCTTTTGTGTTGTGAATGCGAATGAGGGTCTGCTGATATCTGGCTTGTCCTTGATAGGCGAGAGTTAAGGATTCTTTTCAATTCAGAAGTGAGAGATAAAGAATGATACAAGCCCTGCAATAAATAACCCTATCTCCAATCACTCATAAATGCACAGATTGTGTACAGCACAATCTTTAGTGTGGCACAAGCCTCATTACATCACAGCTTTTTCCCCGTGAAATACAACACCATCTGGGAGAAAAATAAGAGAAAAATATAATACCATTGTTTTCATTCTACAAAGGACTTGATTAAAGATGATAGAAAAAGAAGAAGCCATCCCCGTGAGAACAACTGCAAATCATCATGCATGCAGCTGTGAGATATGAAGGAAAAGGAGCCACTGCAAACCAAGTAAGATGTGCCTTCCTTGAGGACATGCCTTCAACAACTGCTACATTCTTATCAAGTTAATTATGATTCTGAAATGCTAATTAGAACAATGCAGCCCAGATAGGATAAGTCAACAATGTTACAGTGGAAAAATTGATGAGGGTTATATAAAATTTGATTATCTGAATAGTTGGCATCTTTTGTTTGACAGGCATGTATTATGTGTGGCCAAACATTAAGCAGTGAAATCTACCTGAGAGGCAATCGCTGACCTACACAAAGGTGAGTGCTCTAATGAAGGTATATGTGTGAGTGTCTCAGATATCTGGTCTCTAGATGTGTGACTGCCAGGAGCCAAACACTGTCAGCAGTCTCTCAAAACAGAGAGGCCATATTTCACTAATAAGCATTTCATCACTAACCAAACTCAACTGTCCTGATCAATCAATTACAGAGGACGATCCCAAGTGGGACACAGAAAGGAAAGGACAGGAGAAGACTATCTCTCTTTGCAATATACACCCGCCATGTTTGAATGAATCCTGTTTTATAGACGGGTATGTGCGTGTGCACACGTGTGCTCATATCCTATCTGACGAGAGCAGGAGCAGCTGGGAACCAATGATGGAATCAGCCTGTTGCCATGGAGACCACAGCATCACACAGCATTCCAAGGACAAAGGAATGTCACAATCTAAGGTTGATATTCCCAGACACACGACAGACATGACCTCACACAACTAGTGCCATGAATGAAGACCATCAGCAAATGCACTGTTCTGAGAGTCAATGCTTCATGTGGTGAAAGCCCATGTGGAAATAACTTATACACAGCACACTTACGAAATTTCAAACCAGTGAACTTTTTGTCTTTGAAAATGCTGGTATATTTTTTTTCCAGTTGCCAAGAATTTGCCAACTAAACTCTGAATATCCTCACAAAATCCAGTAACTCGCTGATGTAACCATGATAAACTGTTACACCAAAATGCTGTTTCATATACATGACCCTACTGATATTTCCCTATATTATATATACTTAATACACTCTTCAGTCCATAAAAATATGGCCCAATATACTGTTAATATGAAGGAATTTTCTATATTGATTGTTCATAGGTGTTTTACCAGTAATCTGAATTACACATTACACTGTGTTGTGGTTTCGGGTTAAAGGAAATGTCCATGAATTAATGGATAGTGTCCAAGCAGAATATTACCAGTACCTTTTTTTTTTTTTGTGAACATGGTCAATTATACACAAATAATAACTGCTACAATCTACCCTTGTATTATATGTATGTTGTAAAGATGCAAGGAAGTTGTACTAGAAAGACTGTTCCTGTTATTTACAAGTAATCAACTTAATTTGTTTAATATTTAGCCCAAAATGCAAGTCAATTGTGTAATTTGTGCTCTCAGTTCAAATGAAATATCCACATTAACTGAAGATCTGATAGATTTTAACTTTTATAGCCAGAGCAGCTACTGCTTTAACACCACAGTATTGCATATAGGCTTCTGCAATTTTTTCAGCAGCTATTGCTGATCCTGAACATCTGTGAATATTTGGCCCATGGAGGGAGCTCATTAATAAAAACATGCCTAACACTGAAATAGCACCTGAGACATTTTCATTGCTCTTGCTGTTCAAGCTCCACTGTGTGGACAAAAAAGAAAAGAAAAAAATGGAACCACTGTTCATTTTGGCAACTCAGCCAATGATTTTGCTATGTCCTAAACCTTTCTTTTAATTGTTCAAATATAATATAATGATGCAATAATGCATAATCATGCAGTTCAATACAAGTCATTTATGACTTTCTAATTAACAGGCTTTTGGGCTGCATTAGGCAAACAGAAACAAATCGTCTCTGAATGCATAAAGAAAGAGTGTGGGAATGTGTCTAGGAACATAGCTTTTGAATTGCACAATGATGTGGCTTGTAGTAGTATCAATGTGTGGCCAAATAAGAAGCACAACAGCTACTGTATCACCATTACAGTATGGCACGTAGGCTACTACAATCTTTCAGCAGTTGTTATCGTGGATATTTCGCCCCGAGAGGCAATTTAATGTATGAAACCTTTCCACTATAGTGTCTCTTCCCACTGAATGTGACTCTGGTCTCTCGGGCTGGCGGCAGGCTCTACGTGACAGGTGACCCGCTGCTCTCTAAAGGCAACAGACGGGTCACCAAACCTAGCGCTGATTCACTCATCACGTAAGCCAAAGGAAATTTCGTGACACGTTAATTAGCCATTACGCATTGCAGCTCTTGTCTTGTGTAGTGTCCAGATTCGGACAAATGCTCGCGGATTTTCCCGTCTGAATGCGCAGCATCAGCAGCGCGAGCATTAAGACACGTGTGTCCGGGGATCACCCGCTTGTGATGATGAAAACATGTTAATACTGACCTGAACCGTACAAGTGTATTCCGAGTCGTCCAGCAGTCGCACCGTACAGCTGAATTCCCTGTCAAGACTCCGCTCGCTGCCACTCATCAGTCGGCTCAACATTTTGGCCAGTCAGTACAGACTCACGAGCGTTTAGGACGAGCGCAACATGTCACTCACTGCAGACATGCCAGACAGACCCTTTTCGGTGTTCAGAAGCCCTTTTGAGTCATTGCTCCCCATCATTATCCTTTGGACTGGACGGTGTGGTCTCCTCTGCCGTTGGTGGTTTTATGCCAACGTTGGAGGTAGTCCAATGCACTGAATAGACTCAGGCACAACAGCCCATCCATATTCATGCATTATTTCTGGGGAGGGCTGAGGCGGAATGTATTCATAAACTGGAAGGCAGTGAGAGTCGATGTACATAACTGTTTAGATGGAGATAGATTTGTTTTCTGGAGAATCATTAGCACTTATTAAAAATCTGAGAAAGAACACTATGATAGCACACAACGTTGAGAAAATAAAAGAGAATTAAAGTTTATTTTACATTTACATTGTTAGTGTCAACAGTTATGAGGGTCTTGTGCAAAAGAGGTATTTTCTGATTAAAACTTATTATTATTATATAATTTTCCGATACATTTTTTCCCCCCTCCGGAATGAATGATGTCTCAAAATATTTCTCAAAATCACCGGCTTAAATAAATATATAATAAATATATAATAGTATTCCATGTTGGTGAAAGGCTTATTTCAATTGCAAACGCTGCTCTACTTGGCATCAAGTTGGCATCTTCTTATCCATCGCTTTGATAGGCCTATGTCTGTGATTATGATATTATGAAGACTCATAAAATCAATTCGAAACTTTGTTTTTTAATTAGTCAATTAACACAAGGTAGGAGTATAAACAACTCAATTTATGGTATTAATTACACAATAAATCAATAAATGTCACAAGTCAATTCAACTTCCTGTGCTGAGGTATACAAAATAAGATATGGTTGTAACAAATATCCGAAGAACATGTAATGTGCCTATAAAACAGCTTTTGAATTGCACAGTAAGTAGATGTTTCCGTTAAAATAGTTCAAAAAAATATGTGCAAGCCCTTGTTCCATATCCTCAAAGTAACTTAAGAGTTGAGAAAAAAACAGTAACGGTGTGACAGGATTTATAATTAAGAAGAAAATTATACATTTTTAAATAACCATTTCATTTTTTGCCAGATATATCTACATACATAAATTATTCACCATGGATTTTTCCCTTTTGAATGTGGGATAAACAAAGAAGGGCTTTGCTAAATAGAAAAACAGAGGTTCAATACAGTCATTCATTATTATATTGTCATAATTACTAAAACACAAACCACCAAAACTATTCTTCCTTTTCTAAATAAAGTGTATGTTAAGACATATGCATTTAAAGCGCACATATTTAAAGTGGACAAAGTAGAAATTTCACAAAACACCATTAGTACAAACAAAAAACATTAAGAGTTGGCAGAATAATGGTGCAGCAGGTCAATTTCCATTACTGCAATTGTGAGTAATGTACATAGAGGCCAATTTGAATATACTACACAAGATATTGAACTCTGCATAGCATTTTAGTGCATTACTCTATAATTAAGGCATTTTGTTTAACAGAGGTAATTTTTGGTTGGTTGTAGGCATCAGTCAAGCTTGTTTTAAGGGGATCAGACTGATTAATCAGCTGATTAATGGAGAGAAGATGGCAGACTAGAAACCTAGGTCTATGTGCTGGTGGCAACATTGGCTTTCTTCTCATTGAAGAAACTCTTAAGCATAAGCACCTGGCCAATACAGACCACAAACAGGATGATGGTCTCCCCAATGGACCAAAAGTGCACACGTTCACTCAGGTCTTCAGCCCTGATACGGTCCTGAGCCTCCCGAAGACGATACCAAGTCTGAGAGTCTGAAACCACTTTCAGGATCTCATGGATAGACAGGCAGGCTGACTCCATCTGCATGATTTATTCAGAGGTTCACATCAAATGCATATATGCACAGTGCATGCTATGTATGATTGCATGCTGTTTGTGTTTCTCACCTGTGTGAGAGCTGTTGCTCTGTTCATGTAAGGCATTAATCTGTCATCCTCTCCAGTTCTGAAGTCCAGATAAACAGTTTTGTGAGAGAAGGTTGAGAACTCATTGCTAAAGCAGACCTTGTACACTCCCTTCATGGTTGTTGTATAGGAAAAGCTGTCATATTGCTTTTTTCGTTCTTGATACAGCAGATTATTCAGTGGATCTGTCACAAAACAGTCAACATCATAGTTTCCTCCAGCAATAACCTGTATGGAAAGAAAAGTACTGATATTAGGAATACGGCATACATGGTATTTTCAATTGTTTAACAATGTTTTATCAGTGTTGAACAAGGTTTAACAGGTTCTTAAGCAAGAAAACCATGGTGATATCTGTTTGTGCTCCATACAACTGGAAAATATTCAACAACTTGGAAAGCAAAAGATAAATAATCCACCAACACTGCAAAAAAATAAATAAAATAAATAAATAATTCACAAGCAAGTTTTGTTAAAAGCAGCTGTCGGCACAATTACCTGAAAGTCTACATCAAACTTTGCTCCTTGCTCTAGGTCCTCGTAAAAGCATTGTTTCTCGTTATCGGGCAATTCAAAAGTTAATTCGGTGGCATTTGCAAAGGCTATATACACAGCCAAAATTAAAATAAAAGGGTATCTCATGGTGCTTATTTGGAAAAAAACTGAAATTATTATTTAAAATTCACAGAAAGTCTCCTCCGTTGAGCTACCGCTGATTTGACAGCTTCAAGCTAAACACCACTGACGTGGCAGGAGGACAGGATACTTCCGGGTTATTTGCCCCTTTTCAAAATAAAGATTATTTCCGAAATTACAAGTCAAGGATTAATCCAGAGGCAACAGACAGGTTTTTTAATTAAGAATGATGATCCGATCATGCGAAATAATACCAAAAGTAGCGTCTTGTAATATATTGCACGTGTTATAAGGTATTGCACTAATTATATTCATGTTCCTTGCTGAGGTGTCCGTGCACTGTAGACAGTTACCAGTAGATGGCAGTGCACGATGGTTAGCATTTTAGCACTTCCGGTTCCATCGTCCCAGAGTCAATGGGTTTATTGAATGGGATTTTGGTTAAATCCCTTAAATAAGGTCCGTGGTTCACACAGGCTCAAGATACTTTCACGTTTTATTCTATGACATAAAACACACCAGTTACACCCCACTCGTGATTTTTTTTACACTGTTACGTTTCTTAAAAAAGACGGTTGCTAACAAGTTGCTAAATGGGACTACAGGCGCTGTCGGAGACATTCAACGTCATCACGCTGAACAGTTGATCAGTTTACAGTATTTTCCAGTCGTAGTATAATTTGTCATACAATTAATTGAAGAATAACCAATTAATAGTTTCCCTGCATTCTGTATTGTTGGTCGACGATGTTTTTTTGCTTTGCCCCGAAATGCAACACAAGTCTTCGGATGAAAGATGCTCGTTTTATCGCTTCCCCGCTGATGCGGAGACTCTGGGTTTGTACCACAAGGTAAACTCATATTACGATTATTCCATGTAAACACCACATTTACCGGCTTAGTCACGGTGAAAGTGAAACTTTAACGATGCATAGTGCTTAAAGCCACGTTAAAATTAAATGTTTACGGCCACATGAAGCTGTTAGAAAGCATATGAGGATTTCCTAGAAGCAATAACATTTTGTGTACCCACCCTAACAAAGCTGAAATGTGGTACTTTATTCACTAAAATACGTTTAATTTTACCATATCCAAACAACGCGCCCACTCTGCTGTTATTTAATAGATTAAATGCACTAAAATGTAATTGAATAGTAGGTGGAGACAAGTTTTTAATTAAAATATTCATATTAATCAAGGATTTATTGACTTTTAATGCACCTTATTTCAACATGTACGGAATACGTGCTTTCATATGTCTTCATACTGAACACGTTAAAAATAAGTTTGAAAAAGTTGTCGGAAGCAGCAAGCAGGTGGTGGTGGTGACGCTGACGGCGAGCGACCGTGGTGCTGTAGTTCGTTTATAGCCTACGTTTAGCTTTTAAGTTCTGGCGCTTTTATTTAGGCTTCAAAATTCATCAAAGTTATATTATTTTGTGAAGGTTATCTTGATGGACAAAACGTGTAAGTTTCATGAACTATGGTTGAACACAGAGCTTATTTTTTTCGATAATCCAAAAGCCTATGGAAAAATCCTATAGGCTTTTTGTTGAGAGAACCAGTGCGATGCTAACAGACGATCCGCCTACAAAGCGACGTCATAGTTCCCCCACTCTAATACGTAGGACCAAACCAGTGCTCCATATGTTCAGATGACATTGGATGTACTGTTGATACATTATGTGTAATGTATGCAAAGTTGTATTTCATTAATGTCATCTCTGAATTGTTTGCAATAAAAATTAAAAAAAAAAAAGGACCAAACCAGTGCTTAATTTGAGCCGGATTCTACCGGATCCTGTTCTGGAAAATGTCAGATTTTGGATTTTTGGGAGGGAGGGGAGGGAGGGTTAGGGTGCGAGGCGCCGGCGCGATCAAACAACCAGCAAAGTGTAAAAAAAAAAAACTAACACTAGCTTCTCTATTCTTTTTGTATTCTATATATTTATTTTCTTTTTATTTATTATACAATTAACAAAAGCAAAAAAGGCCTCTAACACTTTCTATTCTATGTGTTTTCTTTTTATTTATAAGGTCTATATAATTAAAAAAATACCTTGCTACATGTACTACGTTAAGCTGAGATTTGTTATAGCACTTGCGTATCATTGTTCTTTAGTTGATTTTGATTGCTTCCATTGTCCTCATTTGTAAGTGGCTTTGGATAAAAGCGTCTGCTAAATGACTAAATGTAAATGCAAATGTTTACTTTTATTTTTGCACAGCTCGCAATAAAAAGAACATTTGTGTTTTTGTATTTAAGCAAGCAAACAGGATGCGTGTTCTGTCATCTCGGTTCTGGTTTCCTTTCCGTGAACTTGTTTGCGGATCGCCGCGCCTCACATCTGTTTTATATCTGTTTATTTATTTATTTCAGATATATTTCGCATATGTATACCTTTTGTATTTAGATTATGATTGTATTTTATTTTTATGGAAACAAATTTTGTTATTTTTAATGTAACTTACATATATTGAATCATCCTGGCGACCAATTTATGACCCAGGGTTTGAAAACCTCGGCTGTATAGTTAGGTCCATGCAGAAACTTG